CTTCATGGAGGTGGCCCTGAAGAAGGCAGACAAGACGGACAGGCTTGATAGGGTTGAGGAGGTGAATTGTCGGCTCCGAGAGGAGAACGGGTGTCTCAGGGCGGAGGTTGAGTCCCTGAGAAAGGAGGTGGACTCTCTGAAGAGGACCCTGGAGAGAAAGTCAGTCGTGTCACTGGCAAGCGAGGCCGTCGAGGAGTTGAAATGCTCCCTTATGGTATCCATAGGGGAGATGGTCAACACCCGGCTGGCCTCTCTAGAGGAAAGGCTCCAGCTGCCACCAACTAAGAGCCTGAGACCGCCACTGGCGGCTGATCGCAAGGTGGGGAAGGCGTCGGAGACGAGGGCGATGGAGCCCTGGAGTGTGGTGGCCGCGAGGGGGAAGAAGAGCAAGGGCACGGCTCCTGCAGCCAGCCCTGCGCAGAAGGGCGAGGCCGTCACGCAGATCAAGCGCGACAAGGACCGGCGTAAGGGTGGGGAAAAGGCGCCGCACATCAAGGTGCCGAGTACCGCCGCAGTTGAAATGAGGGTGAAGCCCAGGGCGGAGGAGCTGGGCCTCACCCTCACGAGCATTGTGGAGATGGCACGGGCGGCTATCGAGCTGCCGTCCGTGGGCATCGACGACGGCTTAACTATTAAAACGAGCCAGACTGGATCCAGGCTCCTACTGGTGTCGGGGCCTGGTAATAGGAAAAAAGCGGATGACCTCGCCAAAAGAATGGAGGAGGTAGTGGGTGAATACGCGCAGATTGGCAGGCCGGAAAAGTGCACCGACCTAAGGATAACCGGGCTCGATGAGTCGGTGACACTGGACGAATTGAAGGCGACGATAGCTAAGGAGGGAGGTTGTTCGGCGCACGAAATCTCTGCGGTGGGAGCTCATCCAGGACCGATAGGAATGAGGGGGATGCTCATCCGATGCCCCACATGGGCCGCGCGGAAGGTGGCAGAGGAGAAAAAAATAAAGGTGGGATGGAGTCTCGCCAAGGTGACCGTCCTAAGCCGGCGCGCGCACTGCTTCAAGTGCATGGAGAGGGGGCACGCGGCGGCGCGTTGCCCGGCTAAAGAAGACCGAAGCACCCTGTGCTTCCGGTGCGGGGCAGCGGGGCACAAGGCGGCGACGTGTGCTGCCCCCGCCAGATGTGTGGTGTGCGCGGCGTGTGGTCGGCCGGCAGACCACATAATGGGGAGTGGGAGGTGTGACCCGCCGGTCACAAAAGGGAAGCCTCCCGAACGTTTGGCCTCTGAGGCGGCGCCCGGACGGACGCCCTCGGAGGGGGGGATGTCCGAGTAGCCTAGGCCGCTCGGACCCCCCAACTTAACCGCCCGCGTCTCCTCCCCCTTCTCTAAGGAGAAGGGGCGAGGAGAGGCGGGTGACAGAGAGAGGAGTGAAGGATGGGAGATCGCTCCCCCTCCCACTCCCCCAGGAACGGCGACCCCCCTTCTTGCAGTTCTGACCTGCAAAGGGGGGGTGGCGGAGAGCTGTACGGGTACTCCTGTACAGCCATCCGCAGCGGATGGGGGGCGGTATGGTGGGCAGTAGGCCGCGTACCCAGCCCCCACGCGCGGGCCTACCTGCGCACGTCTGCGGGGTCCCCGAAATACCGCGGGAGACCCCTGCCGTGGAGCCCCGGCGAGGCCGGGAAGCTGCTGGGGGTGAAGCCGTGGTAGACTCCCTAAACGGGGATCCCGCGGCTTCGCGCTAAGCAGTGTAGAGGTATTCGCAGGACTTTTTTAGCGGATATTATACCGTAAAGCGCCCGTAAGAGTTGCGGGGTCCTCGGTGGGTAGCCACTGGGGGGTCCGTAATACTTGCGGGAGCCAGGTGTGAGGTCCGTTCGGCGGTGTGCCTCTTAAAGGCGCCGTCGTCTGTAAAAAGATTTTTTACCTGCGTAAAAAAAAAAAAAAAAAAAAAGGGGTGGCTCAGGGAAAGTAGGTATAAGTATATTCAACTATTCAAAAGGGCTGTATGAATCATATCTATGTACAGCCGTGGGCCTTCTTCTAAATCAATCCCGGTCGAACGAAACTGAATTCGTAACTTTCCTCAATCTTGTTTTGTGACAATATCGAGGTTCCAAGTATATTGATACGATGTAAATGCAAAACAGATATTACGGTTAGTTGGTTGAAAGCTAACTTTATATTTAATTTGCTAGTACGACCACGTTTCCCATTTCAATATAATCCTTCCCCATGCATTTCCAGAGCAGCTATATCTATTATTTTATGTTATCACCTACATATATGCATGGCTTAGCTACGCTCGGGGGGTGTCATCGCCCCCATTGTCCCCCGTGAAGCCACCCCCTTGACGCATCACCCTAGGCATAATTTTATATTCTATCCTGGATTTGTTTTTATGAAAAGTTATAGAATGGCGACTAATAAATTAGAAAAATAATTTGTTGCGTTCAATACATAAACCGATAGGATCAATGCACATTTGATTTCAAATTCCCAAAGTTATCCAATATAACTAGTCGAAAATTGTAAATTTTAGATTGGTTATTTATTAAATCTAACTTGTCACGACAGTTCTACAAAGTCTACTGTAAAATTTTTAAAATGCAACTGATTTATTGTGTTACAATACTGCATGTTCCATATGAATTCCAAACTAACAATCGAGCATGAATTCACATCTTACGTTTTGGTTTCTGAATAAATATTACAACCTTTTGTTTTTTTTAATAAAAGGCATCAATTCATGTAAGTCGGAGAAAACTGAAATGTTAAATAAAATTCCGCGCACTACTTTCGCGGCCCGATATTTGTGTTGGCTGTTTAAAAATAAACAAGCGAAGAATATATTACAATTTAAATACTAAAAGCTAATTATACGAGAACTAAATTAACTATGACTAGGGCGCAATAAAGTTTTTGGTATCTACATACAGTTTTATGTCGACTGGTCAATATTGGTGTTAAATTTTTATGTGATGAATAGTTAAAAAGTTGATAAACTTAATTCAATTTGCATAAGCCCAAACTTAACAGAACATAGTTAAGTAAACTATTTACAGAGAACTAGAAGGCACAGTATTGGGAAATGATGTGAACACCTAGACAAGTTATCATAACTTCAGCATAGTCATAGAATAGGTGATCATTTTAATACTAGGATAGAAACTTCCAATTTATTATAGCTATAAGTTGTACAAAGACCAAAACTCATTTAATATTTAAATATCTGAAATTAAGAAGGGATAAAAAGCTCGTAGTGTAGTAGACGGTTTAGAACCGTCTTTCTGTATAGTCGCATAAGCCTGTCCAATGTCGGACAGATATTGTAGAAGAACATCGATAAACGTACACGCTGTTGACTGTCCAGAGTTTACTGTTTTAATGTCGTCCCTATTATAGTATTCAAGCAACGAGTTCAGGAAGAAAATCTGTTCGTTGGTCGACGCTTAACGCACTACCAAACTGACCGTCTGTTACATCATAGCTACGCTAACGTTATCCTTAATACGAATATATTTAAGATTGACATTAGTATTAAACTGTGCAAGTAGTTTCACTCATCCATGGGATGATATTCATGATAACATTCAGATAGGTAGTATTATCAAGGTTAATACTTTTGATCATCTAAGGTGAATGGTTCGGACATAATAATTGTACTTACACGATAAGCGAAGTGGACAATCCGACAACGACAGAAACATCACAATACATTTAATTTATCGTCCTTATACATTCATCGAAATAGGAATGGACATTTTTAATACTCGAGGAGACATCGGTGCGTACACCAAATGTAATTATACCTAATTTTATAAAAAATTACGGCGCGTTAATGGGGTAAGTGCAGCCCACGATGCTCATTTTGGAAACGCAGAACGGGCGCGTTCGAAACGCTGCATTTGAGCTTTCTTTATTGATTACCTTGTTTTAAAGCAGCTGTTTCTCTCAGAGAGCACTAACGAGGAATATAAATATTGTTTTTGTTTTGTACTAGTGTGCTACAGTTCTTAGTAAATGCAACAAAACAACCCTGAGAGCTACCTTTTCTATCACGTGTAAATCATTCTAATACATTTTAAAAGTTAAGATGTGTGCGGATATTAAAAATTTCCACATATTAGTAGAAATTATAGCGGAATAAAAATGAATAGGAAGACCATAGCAAATTCCGTTCACTTGAATTCGACTTGGCACACGAATGAAATTCTCGAAGCGGCTCATAAAATATCCATATTACGGCAGCGCCACACTTATTACAATAGTAGACTGAAGAAACGTAAAATAAAGTTTGTAACAAGCACCAGCACGCGCCATTAACTGGAGGATACTGCTTCACGGACGCGAAACTTTCTCGTTCAAAGGTATCTCCATTCGCATTCAGCCATTCTGCCGGAGTCTAAATTTTCACGCGACGGCGTATGTGCTGCTTGAGCATATTTCTCGTCTCTAGTTGTTTACGTTTGTACGCAGGCTGCACTTCACGTGTGCTGTTCGCTTTGGGTAAACATGGTACGAAACATTATGTACGAATCACACGCCAACTGAGGTCGGCCGTATGCATGCATAGCCTTGTGCACCGTACGGAAGCATAAGAACTGACATTAGCATTTACTGTGGCTTAGCGTGTGACCTACCGTGCCATGTCGACACGACAGCAACGCAACTCCGTCACTAGTACGTCTGCAATCAGGGCAGGCTATTAAAAATCTAAATTTCTACGTGACACTTAAATTTCGACATATAAAAATTTCGAATTCAATACCACCGCCTTTTTCGGCCGTCGTTGGTCGGAATGTATTGTTTTTCAAGGGTAAAATGTTTCCGAAGCGCAAGCTAAATCGATGTTCCGCTGACAGCGCTTTATACCATCGGGAGATAATACTCCAACTGTGGGGGGCGGTTTGACGTGGGGCGTCGGAACGTTAGTGTGTCGCGAAAGTTGGCATTGTGCGGACTGGACGCCGGGGTGTCGTGAGGGTAACGCTGAAGGGGTGGGTAGTGGACCGGGCCGTGCGAGAGGGCGGTGGACGCGTTTAAGGCGCGAGCATTTTGGACAACTCTTCGTCTTGGAGACAGCCTTTGAGGAACTCGTCCTGCGTGAGCTGGCCGTCGTTGTTTTCGTCCATTTTAGCGAAGATATTTTTGGCACGCTCCTCGGCGGAATCAGCCGGCCTGTTACTTGAGCACGCGCCAAGCATGTCGTAGATAGCCTGCAAAACATAATCAGTAAAACTATCTTCAATTGAAAATGTACATTTTTTTTCTCGAATTTGGGATGTTCTTACCTAAATTTAAAATTCATTTATGTTTTGAAAACGTAAACAGTATTATAACATATTCCTAGATCTATAATTACAATGATGAATTGAATAATAACTTAATTAAAGAAAATATAGAAATGATGCAACTTTGGTATTGATTTTTTTTCAAAGAATATTGTGTTGAGGCTCATTTGAGTGCCTCCATTTACAAGCACTTTAATTTTTTTTTTAAAGTAAGGTCGTTATAATCGGTTAGACCAAGTGATTATACCTGCAAACCAAATGTGCATAAAAACCTTACCTGGACTATTTTCGTCATCTCTTGAATGTCTATTACTCCATTGCCATCCACGTCATACATGCGGAAAGCCCATTTAAGCTTTTCCTCAGGGGTTCCACTCGATGTCACATGAATCGCCTGCAGAAATTCCTATAACAAACACAATCCCTCGATACGGTAAGACTTCCGAAAGAAAGAACAAGGAAGCCACTTGTTCCAACTTAGAATATTTTCACGAAAACTAATAGAAGTTAATAAAAATTCGCTTTTAAGGCACCAATGTAAATCTATTAATTCGCTACGCACACAGTAAGGATTAATTTTCATTCGCCAGCTTATTCGCTTAAAGCATTAACAATAACTTAAAAATATAAGTAAAATAAAATGTGGTACCTTAAAATCTATATATCCATTTTTGTCCATGTCGAAAGTGCGAAAAACGTGATCGCAGAATTCAACGGCATTGCCAGAGGGGAAAAACATCTTGTACATGTCGACGAATTTTGCAGGCGTTAGCCGTCCGTTAGGACAGTCTTGCTGAAAATTGTCAAAAAATAAAATTAAGACATAACAGAAAATTATTTTTGAAAGATTGTCTTTTCTATATTTTTAAGGATACGATAAATATTAAAAATCATGAAAAAAAAAGTTTTTTCGTTCCGAACATAAGTGACTAATTGGACATCGTTACTGCCGAAGAAGTCTGAATTGTAATATTTCGAGGACACTATAAATGACTACGATTTATCATGACAGTTGTTCCGCCCTGCCCACCTTGAACCCCTTGTACCACTCCTTGATAGTAGTTTCATCGTATGACGTGTGAGTTTTCAGAAAGTCCATATCCTCCTTAGTGAGTTTGTCTTTACTGACGAAACAGCCCATTTTGTCTTCTGTAACAATAGAAAGCATGTATTTAGCAGTCATTGAAAAATATATTATGTAGTTATTAATATACATTTTATGACAATGGTTGGTAAATTTTATATATATTTTTTGGAAAGATATAGAAATTGAGAATATTGTAACTACATACTATTATATAATACGAACATTTCAGAGTAAACAAAGGCTAACTAACATACAGCTCACACTCAAGGAATATTCTTCAATATTCAATAGCGTAGATTATGCTTAGAATCAAATATCAAAGGGTTTTTTTGATATAGGTGAGAATTAAGAGAAAATTTCATTTAATATTACATTTTAACATTAGGTGAAAACATTACGATTTGGACACATTCGTCAGATTCCTTTTTCGTCAGAATAAACTACAGGCTACTTGTTTTCTGATGAAAAAAGAATTATGGTCAAATAACGCTTTCGTCGAAATAAATTATAGGCTGTTTTTCTCTGACCAAAGCGGAAACCATAGATTTAATATTTAGTTTTATGGCCATGGTTATATCTCAGAAGATCCATGGGCCGGATCCATGATGAAAATAGTAGTCTTTATAAAAGAAATATAAAAGAGAATTATTATACTCAGACCCTCTTTATCATACTAGTATGGTCACCTGGTACTTTTTCAATATAATGATTTTATAAAGGGAAAACTAATAAGAACCATAAGAAAAACATTGCTCAAATTTCTTTGGATTTATAAATCGAACAAATGATTGTTTAAAATTTAATATATTTAATTGTAACATATAATATATTTAATCATAGGCATTTATTTATTTCTCTCTCTTACTCGACTTGATTTATAAATTCCATTTATTTTTCCATTATATTGATAAAGTACTAGGAGAGCATACATGACTACGCTTTGAGAATAATAATTCTCTTCTTTCATTATTTTTTATAAAAAAATATTATGTAATAGACTACATAACGTTGATTAAGGTTATTGTTTTCTTTCTAGAAAATTACCTAAATGCTTTCTGTCCAAAGAGGAATTTCTCTGTCGCCGGAAAAAACAGCCTTTAATTTATTCTGATGAAAAAGGAATCAGACGAATGTGTCCTAAATCAACATTACTCTCTATTTATAATTGCAGCACCGACAATGTAACTTTTAATGCAGAATTTCACGATATATTCTTAACACTTGCGTAGTAGTAAATAATAATAACTGAATATCACAAATGTATTGAGTGAAAAGTAAAATAAAATCGAACTGTAGGTAAAGCTTTATTGGATTCAATTCGTTGAAACAGATTCCAATAAATAGAAACAGGAGTGTTGCACAGGACAAGCTCGGTACAAAACTTAAACCATTTTATTGAAACAGTCCATTCCAAGTCGGATATTTTAAAATTGTAGCTGAACATAAATTTAAATATGGGACGGGGTAAATATAAAAAGTGTTTTTGTATGCACAAGCAATGTTACTGAAATATTACGGTCGAGTTAATTCATTTATTTACAAAATAAGAAAAGTTACATGATGGTTTATGGCATGTTGCTACTAATACAAATTTCAGAAAGCAAATTGGATTAATATAAGAAATTTTAGTAGAGCACATAAGTATAATGTGCTCTACTAAAATTTCTATAGGGAAGTCCCTATGTACACCAATCCAAAATAATGTATGGAAGCATGTAATAAGTGGTTTCTAATATTAGATCTATGCTAGTCCATCTGGGCATTTAAAAATAGTTATCATACGTGGGGCAATAGATCAAAATGCCGAAACGCCTGTTATTGGATAAACGTAAGTTGAAAAACTCAAAAATGTGTGAGTGTTATGTTTTGCAACCGCTGTAAGCCATGTAGCCGCCTGTTGCCAACCACTTAAGCACAATCGCATCGCTGCAGGCAGCGAGCGCGCACTTCTAGGTTAGGTTTGTAAAAATTACGACTCAGTGCGAACGCGATCTCATCGGCGAGTTTATAGATATATAAAATTGCGCGGTGCCCTTGGGGTTCATCGGCCGAATTCTACCAAAAATTACCTGGTAAATTCTAACCAAGAAGTAAATTCGGATGCCAATGATATTTTTTTAAAAGAAAGTATGAAAAATTGTAATACTCAGAATTTCAATATATTGATTCTTATGATATAGGTAATAATGTCTTTTGACCAATTATATAAAAAGAAAACCTCTGATCTGAATTCCGTTGATGTCTCTAAATCATTAATTAAAACTATAGCTTCAATCTTAGCTGACATATTTAACCAGTGTATTGACTGGGGTGTTTTTTCTGATCTCATGAAAAATAGCAAAATAACTCCTTAATATAAATCCCGCTGCCCATCTGACCTCACAAACTTAACTAATATATATAAATTTTAGTACAATATTAAAAAAAAAGTGTTAGAACAAATTCAATCTTATTTCTTTGAAAATAAGTTACTTCATTCAAAAGAATTTGGTTTCACAAGGGGTCGCTCTACAACCGACGCTGTTGTTGTGCTCTTACAACATATTTATGGTGCCCGGGAGGAGTCACGTGATGCTTTAGATATCTTCTGTGATTTGTCCAAAACCTTTGATTGCGTTTTTCATGAAACATACACTACAGTATTCTTAGGCAATACATCACACTAGATTAGAAGCTTCAGTGGGGCCTACATATTGAGACATTGTCGAAGAGACTTAGCTCTTCAGCCTACGGAGTAATGAAGATACGCCAATTAACTGACGTAGATACTGCTCGATAAGTATATTTAAGTTATTTTCATAGTTTGATGTCGTACGGTATTTTGCTGTAGGGAAATGCTGCCGACATTCAAACTATTTTTTGTTGCAAAATCGACCTGTTCGATCAATTTACAATCTTAAGACTAGAGACTTGTTAAGAGAAAAATTAAAATAAAATCGATTTAATAAAATGTTTCTTCTCAGTACATTTATGAAAATGTAATGTATGTTCCAAAAATATTATATTATTGCCTATAAATAGTGATAAGCACTCGCATAATACTAGAAATAAGAATAAAATACCTGTACCAATTACAAGGCTCCACAATATCAATAATTCTTTTAAAGGTCATTGTATAAAACAAAGAATAGTCTAGTCTCAAGGGCAGATCCAGAGGGGGGGTCATGGGGGTCATGACCCCCTCCTGGGCGGGGTCCATCTGTACCCACTTCACAATCTGTACCCACTGTGACTTGACCACGACTATATGACCCCCCCCTGACGCCAAAGCTGGATCCGCCCTTGTCTAGTCTACAATAAAGTCCCTAGCAACATCCAAAAATTAAGCGTAAATAAATTTAAAGCTACTATTAAAAGAGTTCTTATTAATAAAGCCTATTATAAGGTGTCTGATTATATTTCAGACAAAAATGCTTGGGTTTAAACTGTTCCAAACGTGCCGGCTGGCTTTTTCTATATTATGATGAAGATGATATGATTTTGTATTGACACCTTAACAATATACTATCTCGTAAATATTGTTACATAATTATTTAACGCTGTGAGGTTTTTTTCACCAGTTTTGCTCCACAGTTAAGAAAATTCCTAAACTGGTGGTAGGGGGAAAAATATGGAAGATTCAAAAGAGTTGTTTTGTGCATCCAATTTGAATAAAGATTTTTTTGACTTAGACTTTGATTCTGCTAAATAAAACTGAAGTTGTGGCCGTGTTTACAACCGTCTAGCCGCAATAATAGCAACAGAGGTCACAGCAGTCATATGGTTTTCAATGGGGTTTACCACCATGAAGCACACGTTTAATTCAATTCCGTTAAGGCTGTCAAAAATAATTTCATTGTCAGTCCAGCAGAAAGAACTATTTTCTTAATTAATATTTTTCGGCACAATTGGTAATGTAAAATAATTTCATTAGCTACACGGAAACCCAAAACGGGTTAAGCTATACCTACTGTATTTTCATGTGATCTGTAAGTGCTTAAATAACCGGACTGGCTGGCCTTCGTACATTTTTTTAAGTTATACTTAATTTGTTACAGTTTTTTTATTTATATCATAAAATATACCTATAAACAATGTTAAGCTGATTGTTGGCGAGTTATTTATCGAACCCCCTCTACCGACGCCTACCGTCGCAAGGCTATCAAATTCCAATTGTATCTAACGACGTGGTCTTGTCTCGCTTAATGTATAACCTTATAATGTTGCAATAAAGAGATACTTTGACTTTTAAATGTTGCGAATACGGCTTTTAGGTCAAAGAATACGTGCTGATTTTTGGTTCAATTTCTTTAATACCGCTACCAGCTTAGATTAAAACAGGTATGATAAGGCATTCGAGGCTCAAAAGTGTACCACTTAAATTGTGGTTCATGAATACAATACGCTTTAGTCACAATTTGGCATCCAAATACGCCGCATGTGCACTCAATATAACAATGTTGTGTATATTCTGTGTTATAAAGATAAAACAATGCCTTCGATTCTTTAAAAAGAACACAAATAGTTCAAGATCAAATGTACGGTTTATATTTATTGTATTACTATAATGTCCGTATTCAGAACTATTTGGAAAATAAGAAAACACGTTTAAGTTTCAAGAGCTCTATTGCGACTCTGAATACAGAACAAACCAGAAGGAGCCGACAGCCGATAACGTATGGCGCTCACTGTGCCCAAAAATAATTCTCAACCCCCCGCATGCCTCATACTTTCCACCCGTACAGTGTTGCTAGCTTAGGGAGAGTTCGCTTCTTGTGGGGTAAATTTAAATTCATGTTTCAAATTAATGCAATCCGAATAATGTTTTTGTGTCAACAGTACACTATTACAGTTAAACAGTTAGATAAAAAACTCTTTATTGAAATAAAACAAGTAATTTTAAATAAATTATGTCAATATGATGAAATTTTTTTTTATAACACTGCTTTTAGAAGGTTTCCAGATTTTATCTAACCGAGATTGTCTTATAATTTTAATCCACTTTGCTCTTATAGTTTCATGAGCGAGGAACCTGAAATACCACTATCAATAAAATTAGAATAGTTTAATATAAAAACACAAC